CCCCAAAACCCCAAAACCCCAAAACCCCAAAACCCCAATTTGTTCTCAGATTATTGAAAGATCTTGTAATTAATTGCTGACAAATATATCCTATCTTGTTTTGGTCTTGCCTCTTTTGTTGTTTTTCCTTTTTTTAGTCTTTTGAATAGACTGCACTGCTTGGTATCGTGATTTTTCACTTCTACTCATTCTGGCAAGCAATCTCAGAAAACTAAAACTTTGGAATGGAGCTTTAACTACATAGATGGTAAAACTTCCTTTCAAACGGATCATTTTAATCAAAGCCGAAAGTCAAGCCTGAAATACCTTATACAGATATTTCGCTATGAAGAAAGTTGCCTTGCAGGCTGCTGCAAATCAAATTATATAGATAATCATCCAAAGCTCAAAGATCAGCGCTGAGTGAAGGAAGTTGAGTCTACTGTAGTACGAAATGTAGACGAGATAGCTTTCACCTGGGAAGATGACAAACATAAAGAATAGTCAGACAAATACTTGCACAACTCCATCATTTATCTGTTTCCAATGATGATAGAGATCTATGAATGCGATCACAACTATCATGGGTATAAAAGAGTAGATGAGCAATCAGAAATTGGGCAGAAATATGAAGAAGAAAATAAACTTCAGTTCGATACCAAGCTTAAAATATATAACCATTAACATAAAGAAGGTCATCCAGATTTTTAAGGCATGTTTTTGGCCACATAGCATTGGCTCAGTGTGTTCATATCTAGGATATGCTCCTAGTCAGAACCAACAAAACTCGTAGTTTCATTTCTTTCACATCATGTGTTTACAGCCTCCATCTTTCCAGATAACTTCTTCTCATTTTGGTCATGCGTTTGCAGTAAGCATCTGATTCAGATACGACTTCAAGTCAAGCTCTTTGATCAGTCCAGTAACTCCTTCTTGCATCCTTCTAAGGTATGACGTCTGCACTTTCTCTCTCCACTGGAACCCTCACTTGTGTCACTCCAAGTTGTCTGCTCAGGCCTTCAGCTCAATCGAACCAGCGAAGTCTCAGCCTTTGCTCGGACACCTCCGCATGTCCTCAGTCGTCGAGATGTAAATGTCAGTGTAGGTCTGGTTGATGCTCTCGAACAGTCTGGGACCAACAAGCTGTATCAGGTCTTGGTCAGTTAACTTGTGTTTACATTCACTATTAGGTCAAGGCAGTTCATGGTCTTGTGCGAACTTGTCTGAAGAGAGTTTGCTTGTGGCCCAGTCAGTAAGTCACTGTTTACACACATACGTTTTCCGCTTGTGATCTTCACCTTGATAAGCCCCACATTGGATAGGCTTCTTAACTTTGTTGGCATATCAAATGACTCAAAATTCCAGCATTAAGGTTTTTAATAAATTCTATATCAAATTAATCTGTGGGGTTTTGGGGTTTTGGGGTTTTGGGGTTTTGGGG